AAAGACTGGTCTTTTTTCGCAGTATTTGATGGACATGCCGGCAATATAGCAGCCGACGATGCGGCAGAGAACATCATGAGAACACTGATGGAAACTCCGCAATTTGAAAAAGTGAGAATAATTTACTGTTTCACGTCGTTCAATCTGTTCTATGTTGTTATGCTAGGCTAATATAGGAAGCGCTTTTTATTTCAAAATATTAAAAAATATTCTTTCAAATTTGTGGAATCTTCAAAGCCAATTTCATTCAGAATTGTTCCTCCTTCAAGTATTTAAGTGCTCCAGATGTTGATCGAACTTGCGCTTATTAATAAACTTGCCCATGTATCTGTATCTTGTACTGAAAGCATTGTGTGGATTTCAGTTCTCTCCCTTAATTTTTACTATTATCTAACTCAATCATTTTGAAAATCTAATATTCTCAATATTTAGGTCACAGAGGAGCTAAAAGCTAACGGAGGTGTCCTTTGTGAAAAATCCATTGCTTTACTGGAAGATGGAATAAAGGCAGGCTTCCTTAGTTTGGATGAAAATATTCGAACCAGACTTGACTCTGTAAGTAGTTCACCCTCAGACTTCTTTTTCCACATGAGCTCGATGAATTGCAGGACCGCAGTGGTTCAACAGCTGTTTGCGCTATGATTACTCCAACGCACATTGTTATCGCCAATTTAGGTGGGACACTTTTATGCTCTGCATTGTCGAAAATTGATAAGTTCTTCAGGTGACTCTCGCGCTGTGGTTTCACGTAAAGATGAGGGATCTTTTGGTACAGAAGATCATAAGGTTTGTTATACTTCAACCTTTGCGCATTCACTGCAACGGGATTCTTTTCGTAGAATGCACTTTTCTTTCTGTTTTCTTCCAAAACTTAAACTCTCTCGTATTCTGCGGGAGATTAAAATCTTTGTACGCGAGAAGAGCTGTCAATATTTCAGTGTGATCTTCTATGTCAATAATTTCCGTGGTAACTTCTGAGGCCCTTACTCCACCTCCAACGCACGAAGTGTGTGGCCGCTGTCCATTTCATTGGTGCCACTAATTTAACGCAACGCGGCTGCACACCACTTTGTGCATTGGCGGTGAAGAGGACTTCTCAAAACGATGCTTGGTCGAAACGTCAGTCCACTAGTAAAGCTTCTCCGCAAAACGCATAGAAGATCACAAAGCAAGAGGGGACCTGCAGATTATTGACAGAGTTTTCAGTGTTATGCTATGGTATATGCATTTTTGAACAAAAATGCAAATTAGAATGAGCGATTAAGAGGATCACCTAGAAGTTTGTTTAATTCTCATATTTTTCGTGTATGAAACCATGTAGACCTGATGGCTTTACTTTATGTAGTCTTATATAAATCCTCATCGGTAGCAGGAGTGATTGTAAAGAGATTGGCCTCTTTTATCTATGGATATTCTCTATGATTTTCAGTGATTGTCGAGAAACTTTTATTCTTTCTTGGTAATTATAATCAAAGTTTAGCCATTTTTAAAAATTTTCTGGTAACATGTGTCATATCTTTTTATTTCTCAAGAACAACCGGTGACTTTTCTCTTATAAGTAGATGATTCTGCTGCCATTTTCTGCAGATGTGGATAGATGGCCAAATCACTTCACTCTTTGGAGAACAAGCCAATGACAAAGTATATTCTGTAATTCCGTGAATTGCCAACTGATAATTCCGAATCTGAATGTTAATTTCAACATTTGTGTCCTTGCCAATTGATTTGTTACATTTTGAACGTCTAGCAATTCGAGAAGTCGAGAATAGCTTAATTGTAATAAAATTGCGTACTTTTCCCCCAGACATTTTTAAAATGTAGCCACTCAAAATCTTCAGAGCTATAAGAGATTGAAAATACGACTGAGCAAAGTCTACTTTAGTAATGAACTTACAATATATTCTGGAGCACACTCAAGCGGAAAAGGAACAATATATACTGAAGTTTTAGAATTTAATCGGACTGGCTATTC